GGAGAAAAGTTTTCCAGAGACCCCTTGAAGACCCTCTAGAGATCTCAAAAGTATACCCATTAGATTCATCATCAGTTTTTGCCTATGTAAAAAAATTCTCACTTTGTTTGAATAAAAAATAAGCATTTTATTGAAAAATGACCTTCCCCTTTTTCTATGATACCAGTAAAAACGAATTTTTTCAACAAAGGAAAGAAAAGGAAAAAAACGAATGCGGAGTTTTGTAGCTGATGGTATGTTGAGTTGAATGAGAGGAATTGACAGACACCTTTTAGTTTTTTTCAACTGAAAGAGTACAATGACTGAAAAGTTGGAAATGTGATTTTTTATGAATTTCTTCAATGCGAAAAGGTCACAAATTCTGTGAATTTGGATGGAATCGGTTTCAACTCACATATTCAGAATAGTCGTAAATCGACGAATTGCAGGCATAACAGTGGATTGTAGCGTATGATTCAACGTTGAGTAGCGGCTCACTCTCATCGTCTCACTGCACGCCACACCGCACTATGGTTACAAAGAGACTTCCTAATTGTTAGTCTCTGAATTAAAACTTACGTATTCTTTCAATTCCCGAATACTAGAATTCCAAGAATTGTTCAAAACGATCTCGATACAAATTCAAAGAATTTTTGGTTTTTTCGAATTCAAGAAATTGAGAAAAGTCACATTTTGAATTTTTGTATTCTTTGAATTGAAAAAACTCAAAAGTCTGGCTCAATTTCTGAATTCTTGACTTAAGAAAAATCCTCAACGGTTATTTCTGTATTCTGGAATTCCAGAATTTTTGAATCTTTCTCGAATTAGAAAAAGATGATTTCAATTTCTGAATTCTTCAATTAACAAAAAGCTTGATTTTTATTTCTGAATACTTGATGCCAATTCTGAATTCGTTGAATGACTAATTCTGAATTTCTGAAGCTTCAGAAACTGGAAGCTAATTCTTGAATTTTTTCTGCTAATCTTGAAAATTTTATCAATATAGAGTTCTATGAACTCGGCTGCCCCTTTATGGTTCAGTTAGAAGAGCATTCTACGTTTTTATATTTGTACGTTGCCACGTCCCTATTGAAGCTTTTGAAATTTCTAGTTGATAATCTTGAAGGAGTTAAGAAAAATGTTGGTTGGTAATATTGTAGCTGGACGTGTTCTCTAGGAAATGTACGAGAAGAATATGGAAACTACTTGTAAAGGACGTGGACGAGTAAGGGATGACACTGACGTTAAATATTTTTGAGAAAAACCTATATAGTTAGAATCATCATCGAATCCCGAACAAAATTTAGTTTTTCAAAATATCGACTTGCGTTTTTTTCGAAAATTGTTTTCTCAGATTCTATGAAACGCATATCATTCAATTCAGAATTCGAAAGTTGCTTTTTTCGAATATGTTATTAAAAGTTCTATAGCAGCATTCTATTAAGGTGTTAAAAAGTCGAAAGGACTTGGATAATTATCAAAAATCGCCTATTGTGTTCAGTTGCTTCGTCTGTTACTCCAAAAGAAAAGATAGAAGCAATGAAAAAGTTTAACAGTATGTGCAGTTTTCGGTGCTCTATCGAATGAGCACAAAAAGAGAACTAGGAAAAATGTGCAACAGGTCAAAAACCGAGATCGAGTTTTCTAGAAAACCCTTAGGAAACAACGGTTACACATCAGGAGAAAAAGCTATATTTTTGTTGACATTATAACTCTTTAACAGAAAGTCTATCCAGCTATACTCTTCACAGTGGAATTTGGGGCACCAGGTGATAACGACATTGTACTTCTCGGCTAGTATTTCCAGACGTGATACCTAGGAGGGACAGAAAATCAAGTTTAAATATTCGAAAGAAGAAAATTTCTCAGCGTTTGAAATGCAGGATGAGCAGACATGAGATTCCGCAAATCGGGAACGCTGATCTTTGCTGGATGTTTGACATTCAGCTCTTTTGCTATCTCTAATAGACCTTTCGTCTTCCCTTTGTTGATTCCACTTTGGAATTTGCATTCCAGGACGCGCAGCTGATTTTTCGAATCTAAGTCAGAAACGTTATCCAATTGATTTTGGAAGCAAAGTTATTACTAAATGATTACCTTTGTACTCTATCTTCTCCACGAGACACTTGGTACCAATTCCTTTGTTAAAATCATACACGCTGTGTGATTTGGCAGTGTGTGTCCTTGAAAAACGTACAAGTGCAGGTTATTTCTAAGGATTACAGACGTTTAACATACCTGGCATTATCCACGACTATCTCAACTTGTAAACCTTTGAAGGCTTGTTTAAATTTGAGCATCTAGAACAGACGTTCGAATTGTAGCAAGACAGTTGAATTGTCAAAGTATGCATTGTATCCTACATCGATCGAGGCTGAGGCAGTTCGTTCGATGTAATCCAGTCCGTTGTCAGCTAGGAAACAGGAAGTTTCAAATTGGTTTCTGTCCTAGGAACTCCGATCAAAAAAGCTAACCGGCTAGTTGAGAATGTTTCTTCACAGCCTCTTCCCACTCCAACGGGGAAAGAGAAAAGAAAGGACCAGAAGGGTGAGCTACAATGAAATCACTGGCCATTCGACTCCTGCCTCTGCCCTTGGAAATGAAGGGAGCATCTTCTCCTATGAACCATCTCTTGTTGCTAACCTCCCCCG